TGGATGAGGAACCGAGGTGTACAGAAGTTATATTGTTCAAATTCACACTTAGGGTGTGGGAAAGTCAGGTTGATTATGTAGGGAATCTTTCTCTACAGCTTTTCTTTTTAAAAAATGTAGGGTTTGGGGCACCTGGGTGGCTCAGTTGATTGGGCAGCTGCCTTTGGCTTGGGTCATGATTACAGGGTCCTGGGATCGAGCCCTACATCGGGCTCCCTGCTCAGAGGAGAGCCTGCTTCTCTCTCTCCCTCTGCCTGCCGCTCTGCTTGCTTGTGCTCTCTCTCTATCTCTCTGTCAAATAAATAAATAAATAAATAATCTTTTAAAAAAATTAAAATGTAGGTTTTTCAAGGTCTAATTTAGATAAGGTAAAAATCACCCTTCTAGTTGAACACTTCGACAAGATTTGACGAATGCATACACGCTCAAGATATAGAACGTTTTCGGGGTGCCTGGGTGGCTCAGTGGGTTAAATCCTCTGCCTTCGGCTCGGGTCGTGATCTCAGGGTCCTGGGATCGAGCCCTGCATCGGGCTCTCTGCTCAGCGGGGAGCCTACTTCCTCCTCTCTCTCTGCCTGCCTCTCTGCCAACTTGTGATCTCTGTCTGTCGAATAAATAAATAAAATCTTTAAAAAAAAAAAAAGATATAGAACGTTTTCATCTCCTCAGAAAGATCTCTTGTCCCCTCTGTGGTCAGTCCTCTCTCTGCCCCCAGCCCCGAGCAACCACTGATCTGTCTTCCATCTGTATAGTTTTGTCTTTTGAAGAAGGTCATATAAATGGAATCATAGAGTACTTAACCATTTGGTTCTGGCTCCTTTTGCTTCAAGTAATGCTTTTGAGATTCACCCATGATTGTTTCCGCAGTTCCTTTTTAATGCTAAGAAGCACGTCTTTGTACAGACATGTCACAATCTCTTCATCCATTTGTCCGTTGATAAGCATTGATCTGTCTGTAGTCAAGATGCTCCGACCCTGCCCTTAGCCTGTGCGCACGGGCGTGTGTGTGTGAGCACGTGCTTTCATTTCTCCTGGGATTTCAGGGTCATGTACTAAGTGCATATTTGTTATCACAGGACACTGCCAGCTGTTTTCCAAAGTGACTCCCCGATTTTCCATTCCGACAGACAATACGTGAGACTTCCGGTTGCCCCGCATCCTCTCCTGCCCTTTGTATAATCTGGTTTCTTTTAGCATTAGCCGTTCTAGCAGGTGCATGGTGGTAACTCATTCTGGTTTTAATTTGCATGGCCATAATTACCAGTGATGTTGAACACCTTTTCAGGTTCTTATTTGCCATCATCTTCTCTCAGCTTTTGTATGAGAAAGCCTTATTTCACCTTCATTGTAGAAAAACATTTTTGCTGGATATTGAATCCTATGCCGAAAGTTGTTGTTTTTTTGTTTTAGATTTCAGTATCTCAAAGTGCTCCTTTGACCTACAGCTTGTACAGTGTCTAGAGATGTCTGCTCTTTGTTCCCTGTATATCATCTTTCCCTTCTGCCTGCTTTCAGGATTTCATGTTTGTTTTTGATTTTCAACATTTGACTCTGATGTGTCTGGGTGTATTTTTTGTTTGCTTTTTAATTTTTGTTTTTATTTTTTAATTTTTTAGATTTTATTTATTTGACCGAGAGAGAGAGAGAGAGAGAGAGAGAGATGACAAGTAGGCAGAGAGGCAGGCAGAGAGAGGAAGGGAAGCAGGCTCCCTGCTGAGCAGAGAACCTGATGTGGGGCTTGATCCCAGAACCCTAGGATCATGACCTGAGCCAAAGGCAGAGTCTTAACCCACTGAGCCACCCAGGCTTTTTGTTTTTAAACTTATTTGCTTACTATTTGCTGAGATTCTTAGACCACCTTTCGTTAACTTGAGAGCATTCTTAGCCATTCATTATCTCTTCAAATATTTCTTCTGCCCCCTTCTCTTTTTCTTCTCTTTCTAGAACTCCAGTGGTTAGATCACTTGATGTCATCCCACAGCTACTGGATGCTCTGTTCTTAACTTTTTTCTTTTTTTTTTTTACCTGCTTTTTTTTCTATTTGTTTCATTTTGCATGATTTCTATTGACCTATTTTCAAATTTATTGATTCTTTCCTCAGCTGTGTGTAGTCCATTTATAAGCCCATCAGAGAAATTCTTCATCTCTGATAGTTTTATTTCTAGCATTTATATTTGACTCTTTTTAGTCTCCATCTCTCTGCTGGAATTTCTAATCTGTTCAGGCATGTTGTCCATCTTTTCCATTATGTCGTTACTATAGTAACCATGTGGCACCTGTCTACTAGCTCTAACATCTGCGTCATTAGTGCGTCTGATCCTACAGATTGTCTTATCACTTGACGATGAGTCCCCTTTTTTTTTGCTGCTTTTTTTTCTTTTCTTTTTTTGCTGCTTCCTTGCTTGCTTGTTCTGTGTGTGTTTTAATATTTTGTTGAACGCCACACATTGTGTATAGAAGAACAGTACAGACTGAGTAAATAAGATTTACACCTGGAAATGGGCAGGCCCATTTAGTGTGGGGACTGAGCCATTATAGCAGATGAGCTGGGTTTGGGTGTTATTGTTTCTGACTTTACCCTCGGTGCACACCAGCCTTCAAATTCTTCCAGCAATAGGCTCCTGTTACCTTGTGCTTAGTGTGGAGCCTGGGATGCCCGTGGTTTTTTCTTTTTCTTTTTTTCTATTCCACCATCAGCTTTGAGTAGCTCCTATGTGCCTTCGCCAAAGAGGGGATCCTTCTCTGCACTCTTTCTCCTCCCTCAGTGGTAGACGACTGTTGTTGTTACTTGGTGCTGTGCTCCTGGTGAGCTGAGGGGGCTCCTTGGGCCTCCTGCCTCATCCTCCGTGTTAGGACGTTGCTGGGCCTCAGACGTGGGGCCTTTCCAGCATTCCCACAGACCCCCTCCTTCTCCTGCAGTCAAACGCTGCCTTGTATCTCCAGAAAGAGAGTGTCCCCCCCCCCACCCCTCCCAGCGGGCGGGCGGCAGACCTCTGCTTTGCATTGATTGGTACAGGGTTGCCTCAGGGCAACCAGGGGCTGATGGCTTTTGCCTCTGCTTTTCCCTAAGAAGCAGTGGATCTGCCTGGCTACTCTGGCAGAAAGAAGAAAGTCTCCTGCTCCCTCCACAGAGGCAAACAGATTTTACTTCTACCCTTTCTACCCTCCAACGGCCCTGCGAACAAGAGGATTTGCTACTCCTCCCACAGCCACTTGAGGCCTTTGGTTCTTTTGAGAGGAAGGTCCAGAAGCAGGCGGTGTTTCACACTTGTCCCCCAACAGCCGTGTCCTGTACAAGTGCCACCCAGGGGGTCTCTATGGTCTCCTTCCCTATCCCAGTCATTCCTTTTTTTTTTTTTTTTAAGATTTTATTTATTCATTAGAAAGAGAGAGAGAGCACAAGCAGTGGGAAGAGGCAGAGGGAGAGGGAGAAGCAGACTCTCCGCTGAGCTGGGAGCCTGACATGGGGCTCCATCCCAGGACCCTGGGATCACAACCTGAGACGAAGGCAGACGCTTAACCGATGACGGAGCCCCCCAGGCGCCCCAGATCCCAGTCATTCTTGTGGGCACTGGGTGGAGGTCCGCACAGAACTGCTTGCAAGTGGGTGGAGACTCCTGCTGTGTCTGGGGCCTCTGCTCATTCTAGACTGAGAGGCTGGCCCCCACTCAACCTCTTAGCTCCTTTCTTCTTCCTGCCTTTTTTGGAGGCCACCTCTTCCTCTCACACTCTGTGAAAGATGAAACGCTTTGTGTGGCCTGATGGCCTGACTCTCCTCTGAGGGGCTTCTTCACATTTTAGAGTTAAATACACTTGGTTGTCTTAACACTTCAGCCTTCTGATGGGTTGAGGAAGAATTTTGAGCTTTTTCCCATTGTTCGGATGGAAGCAGCATTCTCTTACTGCTTTCTACATGCCAAAGGGAAGTGGAAGTCCCCCCAAAACCTGCTTTTTATATTTTTTTTTAATTTTTTTTTTTTAGATTTTATTTATTTATTTGACAGAGAGATCACAAGCAAGCAGAGAGACAGGCAGAGAGAGAGAAGAGGAAGCAGGCTCCCTGCTGAGCAGAGAGCCTGATGCGGGGCTCGATCCCAGGACCCTGAGACCACGACCCTAGCCGAAGGCAGAGGCTTAACTCACTGAGCCACCCAGGCACCCCCAAAGCCTGCTTTTTAAACCCCAGTCCTGCACTCCCCCTCAAGGACTTTCATTTCTAGGATCTTGTTCACACTTGGCTGACTAAGATGCAGGGAAGGGGTTGTATCCCCGTCCTAGAAACCCCCAGTCCAAAAGGGGAGTCCACAGCAGCCAAATGTGCTTCATGCAGAGTGAGCAGAACCAAGCGTTTCCCCCAAGCACAGAGTCACTTGTGCCACAGTGTGTGGGGGGACCCTCACGTGAGCACTGCACCCCAGGTATCAGGGATGCCCGAGCAGCTGGAAAGCCCTTCTCTTTCTTATGACTTCACCTCATCAAGTGTCTCCCTGCAAAGAGGCCCCCGTGTTTACATGTGCTTCATCTCATCTGTCCTCACGCGTCTGTGTGATACAGGAACAGGTGGCGGCCTCTCCATCCTCCCAACTGAGAGAGGCAAGAGTTCTGGAAGTGAGGCGCAGCCCCTGGGGTCACAGAGCCCAGATGGTTCCAAACCAGACTTTTCTGACTCCAGCCCGGCCCCCACGTAGGGAGCCCCATGTCAGGCTCCCAGCTCAGCGGAGAGTCTGCCCCCACAGCACAGCCACTGTGCTGTGTGCTAATTCTAAGGTCTCCTGGGCAAAAAAAAAAAAAAAAAAAAAGCCTCCACAGTCATTTGTTGAGGGTTTAAGCTATTCATTCTGTGATTTGATCCTGAAACATAAGACAGTCTGGTTTTGTAGACGAAAAACATACCAAACTGGATCATGTTTGTTAGGAAGAGTTTTGTTCGTAGCAGGTTGGAAAGTGAGCCATGCGGCTGTGCCCCAGGCTAAGGGCCGGTGTTCTTTTGTCTCCCACAGCTCTCGTTGGCGCCTGCGGAGGGAACTACTCAGCTACGACCTCCGTGGTGTATTCCCCTGACTTTCCCGACACCTACGCCACGGGCAGGGTCTGCTACTGGACCATCCGAGTGCCGGGAGCCTCTCACATCCGCTTCAGCTTCACCTTGTTTGACATCAGGGATTCTGCCGACATGGTGGAACTACTGGATGGCTACACCCACCGCGTCCTGGTCCGTTTCAATGGGAGGAACCGCCCACCTCTGTCCTTTAACGTCTCTCTGGATTTTGTCATTTTGTACTTCTTCTCTGATCGCATCAATCAGGCCCAGGGATTTGCTGTCTTATACCAAGGTAACCCTTCCCAGCCTCCTTGAGGGCCCTCCAGGCTGCACCTCGGGCTTCACCCGCCCCCTGTGGTGACCCGCGGGCGCCAGGGCGGGTCTTGATGGGACTGCGAGGCAGGGGCTACAGGCTCAGCTTGCCGATCTTCCCACCTCCCATTTCAAGACTTGCATACATTCACAGAAAAGAACAACACCTCTCAGTTTCGCTATATTAGTTGTTCTGAAGACAGTTTTCATGGCAGGGTTGAAAGAAGAACTGAAAGGAAGAGCTGAGACTGATAGAATTAGAAGGCTTTAGGAAGGTCATTTGGTCGATCCTTCTGCCTCTCGACATCCCAGCCATTCCCAAAAGACTAGTTCCCCATCTTTCTCCAGACCCTCCTCAGGGACACCTGGGTGGCTCAGTTGGAACAGCATGAGGCCCTTCATATCGGGGCCATGAGTTAGAGCTGCATGTGAGGTGTAGAGTTTACTTTAAAAAAATAAACTTTAAAGAAGAAAACAAACAACAACAAAAAAACCAATATACCTTAAAAACAACAACAACAACAAAAAACACCCCTCGTAAGGTGGAGCCCCGCTCTCTGCCCTCTGGTGTGCTCAACACATGCCCGGCACAGCTCTCTGCCAGCACATGAGAAGCAGGGGCGTCTGAGACCTGGTCTTTGTCCCGGATGCTGAGGGTCTTGGGAAGAGCTCAGTCAGCCTGTGCTACAGGAAGTCAGAGGGAGGAGGCCTTCCTGCAGGTGGGAGGGACAGTCTTGAGAACAGGTAGCATTTAGGTCAGTAGATAGGAAAGAAGGAGGCATTCTGGGCAGAGGGCACCGTAACTGAAAAGGCACAAGGAAAACAAGAATACAGGCTCAGGTGTCCTCGAAGAGACCAGTCAAATGGTTAGAAGTTGACAGGTCCTGCCTTCTGGGGCTTTCTAGGCCAGAGCCTGACAGGTTCTGCTTTGGCGCCAATGGAGTCAGTGGAGAGAACTACACACAGAAACAAATCAGAAAAAATGCCTTCTCTTCCTAGCCAGTGCCGCCTCCTCTGAACTTCTTCGTTGTCGGCATCAGCTCTCCCCCGTCTTAATTTCTTTGATCTTCCAGCCATCAAGGAAGAGGCGCCACAGGAGAGGCCCACTGCCAACCAGACGCTGGCCGAGGTGATCACGGAGCAAGCCAACCTCAGCGTCAGCGCAGCCCGGTCCTCTAAAGTCCTCTACGTCATCACCACCAGCCCCAGCCACCCACCCCAGACCGTCCCAGGTAGCAGTTCCCAGACTCCAACAAAGGGGGTGGAAGCCACGGGGCTCGAGGGCAGTGCTCTCGGCAGTTAGAGAAGGAGCTCTCTTCCCAGGCAGGTTGTGGATACTGGCTCTGTGACTGTCCTGGCCGTTGAGGGACATTTTCTCACTAGCTTGATTCCTTAGTCCTTAGGAGAAGGTGCTCATGTCCAAAGATCCAGCACGTGTGCCTTTTGTAAGTTGTGATTAATCAGCTAAGCCAGGGTTTTCCCACTCCCTGGCTCCCTCAATTCACCGGCAGGTACAAGAGCTCATTCATTCCTTCATTCCTTCATTCCGAATACATGTGAGCACTTCAGTGGTGTCAGGTGCTATCGTAGGCACCGGACTGTAGAATGAACCAAACAAACAATACCCCTTCCCTCCCGTGGCTTGTAAGTGGGAGGAGACAGACAAGAAGCAAAACAACAGGTCAGACAGTGACAAGAGCTAGAAGAAAAGTCATGCGGGAGAGGGATGAGATGTCTGTGGTTGAAGCTGGCTAACTTGGTGGGCTACATACTTCCGTATTCTCTTTCGTGCCTGGAAGATCCAGCCGAGGGTTTTCCCCTGCAGGACCCGCTTAGGTCAGGAAGGAGCGTCCCTCCAGTGCTTGCTCTGTATTGCTTGTTTTTATATCCTGGTAGGATTGCACAGATAAGGAAGCTGAGGCCCAGAGAGTTTATGTAACTCATCTGTGATCGCACAGTGATTCCACTGGTAAAGACGTAGTATATATCGCCCCTCTCACCTCCCAAGTTGAATGCACTTTGGACCACACTGCCTGCTCCTCTCCAGGAGGGAGCTCTAGAGCAAGGCAAGGAGGTCAGAAGGCCTGGGCTCCTTGCCCACCCAGCTCTCAGCTGCATTTGGTGGCGGCCCCCACCTGCAGGGGGCTCTTTAGCCACACCTGCGTTTCTGAGCTTCCAGTGGTCACTCGGGGCTTCCAACAGACCTCCTCCTGAGAACGGAGCTCAGATAGGTCCTGTCTTCTGTGCTTGCAGGATGGACAGTGTACGGCCTGGCAACTCTCCTCATCCTTACGGTCACAGCCGTCGTAGCAAAGATACTTCTGCACATCACATTCAAGTGAGTATGAAAGCTGCCCGGTGCCACGAGGGGAAGGCTCAGAACGCCTCTATCACTGCACTTCCGTCGTGTGGGTGCGACTGTAGTATCAGAACGTGATGCCAAAGCCCTTAGTTCTGGGCAGCACAAGGCAGGACACATTCCTCATTCTCCGTACAGTGAAATGTGCAACTGGACAAATCTCACCGAGGTCTGCGTTCGCTCCTGGCTCACAGGATATGATTTCAAGGAGGATTGAAACAGTCTGGGCATTAAAAGCAACAATTTCCATTTTTTGACTTGTGCTGTCCCCTTAAAGGGATCGTCATGTTAGAACAGATTTCTGAGACACTACCATGGCTATTTCCCAATGCCTTCTAGAAACTGGGAAACATTCTTAGGAAGAGAATCCTAACATTTTATTAGCGATTGCTTAACAATCATGCAAGAACAATGAAGAAGCTTCATCCTCTAATTCTGACTGATGCGGGAAAACAGATACTCCCTTCCCTTGCTTTGCTGCTCAGGTGGAACAGTTCTGCCTCCCAGGAGCGGAAGCAGTTGTCTGTGCTCCTGGTGTTCGTGACCTTCCAGAGAAGAGCTGTGATTTTTTTCGCGACCCCTACACTGTCTTTCCTATGGCTCCCAGTCCAGCCTCTCTCCACTCCTTTTGCCCCCCCCTCCCAGTTTTACTGGGCTATAATTGATAGACGGGCTTTCTGTATTTCAAGGCCTTTCCTGAACATTGCTGTCTTGTAAATACACCTTTTTCCTGACCTTCTCACTTGCCCTCTGCCACAGAACTTTTCATATGTGAAATGCCTGCTCCTCCTTTGCTTTGTGAAGGCTGCCCTTGTAGGCCCTTCTACACTGCACTTTGCATTTTTCAGTGGAAACAGGGTCTTTTTTAATGATTCCTGAGCTCATGCCTGAGCTTCATATGTATATCTGTCTATTGAAGTCACAAGTCACACCATCTGGGGAACCTCTCAGATGCAGCAAGAGAGCAGGAGGCTGTCTGTGGGGCCCGGCACCTCACCGCCCACCAGGGCCCCACAGCGCATGTCTGACACCCCGTGACACTGGAGTCCCTCAGCAGCTTCCCTGCCAGGCAGCCCTGGAGGGGGTGGGGGGTGACATGGGGGAGCTGGGACACATGTTGGCAGTAAGGCAGGACCTGCTTCAAGCAGAGAGACTTTGGCTCTATCTTGCTTTAATCAGGAGGACTTCCAGGTACATGTCATTTGAAGAAAGTTCTTCTATTTAAAAAAAGGGGGTGGGGGATTTGAAAACTCATCATCTCTAGGCCAGCCCCTTGAAGATTTGAATAACTCTTCCAGCAAAAAGTTCTTTGTTATACTAAAGCTGGAATCTGTGCCACGGCACTTCCCTCCCACAGACACATTTCATTCCCACGATAGCCCTTCAGACCTCCAGGAGCGTCTCTTAGGCCTTTCCGGAGGCTTCGCCTCACTGAATGCCCCATGTCGTAGGAACAGGTATCTTGGGAGACGGAAGGTCGTTGGGAGATCTTTGTTGTACCCTACTTGAAATACTAAGTTGTTTTTGCTTGACAGATCCCATCGTGTTCCTGCCTCAGGGGACCTTAGGGATTGTCATCAACCAGGGACGTCGGGGGAAATCTGGAGCATTTTTTATAAACCCTCTACTTCGATTTCCATCTTTAAGAAGAAGCTCAAGGGTCAGAGTCAACAAGATGACCGTAATCCTCTTGTGAGTGACTAAAAGCTGCCCACTCCGTGCCCAGGACACGAGGTCCCTCCGAGCTCAAGGCCATTGGGGACCCGTGGTTTCTTCAGACCGACTCTCCCTGCTTCTCCCTCAGCCTCTGGCAGCCTCTGCAAGAGCGCCGTCCTAAGGGCTGGGAAGGGACGTCCTGCTGCAGAGGCAGGCCTAGCCTAGACTCCCCCTGCTTCATCACTGCACTTAGAGAGAGACCCAAAGTCCCAGGGTCTAGACCCTCCCTGTGCTTCTCTCTCTCTCTCTCTCTCTCATCTAGAGTGGGGGTGTCAGGACAGGGGCTGAGAATGCAGAGATAGTTGTGTCTGGCACTGGGCTCAGGTACCTTCTAGATGACTGTAGGGTGGTGGGTAGTTATAGTATATGCTGAGTCTTGCTCGCTTATTTTCTATTTTGTCCACACAGATCACTTTCTCCTGGTCTTTATGGGAGGATTCTGAGGTTCTCTTGGGGGTTGGCCTGGTCCTAGATTCCTGGGCATTAGCACCCGAAAGCATAAAGAGGGCCCATACTCTGTGCTGACTCTGGGGCTTTGCTCTCTGGGTGCTGGATGAGGGTGGGCCTCCTCTATCCTGGGAGAGCGTGGGAATTGACCCCCCAACATATCAAGCCTGCACCCTGCCACACACGGGCTTCTTTCCAAAGCTTGGTGATCGCAGAGCAAGCCACACAACAGACTTTCCTGAAAGCTTCTATAGGCTCAGTGACTCTTTATTATATGGGGTTGCCCGGCCTTGCCCCTGCGCAGCTCATGGTCCTATGGAACCTGAGCTGGGCCTGTCTCTCCGTGATTCTCCAACTCCCCGTTCAGAACAGGGAGTATAAAGGTTGTGGCTTAGCCGTGAGGCAGCATTAGGGGGGACACAGGTGTCAGCAGTCTCTCCTGCAGGCATCACTTATTTTAAAAGATGACAAACCGTCCCACGGCCTGTGCTCTCTGTGGTCCCCTCCTCCCCTTTGTCAATGGGGACCCAATGTGGTCTGGAATAGCTCAGTGGGGAGGGAGGGCCCTTTTCCCTAGCCCCACACTACCCTGCCCTTCAGATGGGGAAGAGAGTCTCAGGGAGTGGCATGAGGGCAGAGAGGGAGGTTTTGGGAACTGGAGACCCTCGAGTTTAAGCCTCCCAAGATGGAGAGCTGCAGCCGCAGTGGCTGCTGGTCGGGAGGAAGAGCTGTCCCCCATTGAGAAGTCCCCATCAGCCAAAGTAGGCTTTGTCAACAGCCGCTGAGAAGAGCCGCCAGGGCCTCGGAAGGCCAGTCCTGGGCCTTCGTCAGAGCACGACTCTCCCAGAGGCACCTGAGCACTTGGGCCTTGGAAACCACAGGTTTCCGCCTTGGAGCACTTTGCCTGCCTCCCCCAGATCCCTCAGCTACTGCCTGCTGCGGCTTTCTCTGGGGCTCTGCCACGCTGGCGACTGTGTGCACCTGGCTGCTCCCGGAAACACAGAGGACCGTGTGGGGCCAGCGAGGAGGGGTCTGCCGTGAGAGGTGACATGCGGCAACCAGGGGAGATGCTGGGAGCTGGCAGGCAGAGGGTCACAAGAGAGGGGCAATGGGACAGCGTGTCCATGGGAGGGCAGGAGCGCTGCCCGAGCCACCGTGGGAGGCCTGCTGCGGGCTCAGAGCCGCTGGGTGCCGTCTTCACGCTTTGATCTGGAAAGGGTGATTACCCCGGAGCAGCTGTCCACGGGCCGCGGGTCTGCACACAGAGGCCTGTCCCACACGACTGGAAGTATGCTGACATGTGCTGTCTCCCCTTCACGCTATTCCCGGCTGTGGCGGAATCTCCTCTGAACCAAGTGTCAGGTGCGTGCGGCCACAAAGGGCCTGTGCCCTGAATAGATCCATTCACAGCACAAAGGGAATATGGAATTTAGCCCCGGGAGGGGGTCGCCTGGCCCAGGAGCAGCTGTTCAGCCGCTTAGGGCTTCCTGTGGCCATCGGCCTTTGGGGCATCCTGTGCCACCACCCCCCACCACCAGCCCACCTCACACAGGCAGGGTCTCGTCTGAGTCTGCAGCTGGAGCAACCCGTTCTGAGACCTGGAAGTGCTGGTGACGCCCCAGTGCCCTCCTTCCTGCTGGCCCTGGCACAGCCCACTGCCACCAGGATCAACTTACTGTCCAGGGAGCAGCCCCAGGAAACCAAACCGGCCTCAGGACAGACCTGGGGGAGAGGCCATAAATTGTCCCAGGCCCAACCCCCACAGACACCTTGGCCTCAGTGTTGCTCAGAACCTGTCATTGATACCCCCCAGAGGGTGCCCTGTGGCTAAGTAAACATCTGAGGGATACATTGTCCCAGAGAAGGTGAGGTGTCCTCCCGGGAGCACCATAGGAGGCCCACACTTGGTCTTTTAAGAAACTACTTTAGAGAGAAGTGAGGTTTGGAGAGGCTGGAAAGCCTGAAAGGACATCACGGATCACATAGATTAGGAAAGAAGAAGGGGAGGGACTCTGGGGACAACTGTGGCCTGCCACTTTGAAAGCATCCTGCCCAAGGCCTTCACCCTGAGTGATGGAGGGAACCAAGGCTGTGGCAAGTGATGCCTCTGGGCCTGGGTGCCCTCCTCACCCCTTCTCTGCAGAATCTAGGCCCTTGCCTTCTCAGCCTGTGCCGCCAGGGAAGGGAGGGCTGCAGTAGCTGATGTTGTCGCCTCTATGGTAAATGCCTGCAGCCGGCTGGGACCGTGGTCTTAGCTGCGTTTCACAGTGTCTTTGGCCCCTTGGAAGGTGCATGGCACCCCGTGTTCTTCCCCAAGCACCCAGTCACTTGCAGAACAGAGAAGGTGTAGCCATGTCTCCCTGCCTTGTCAGGACAGGGTCAAGGCCTCTCTATGGGTGTGAGCGAGGTGACCGGGCTGCTGTAACTTCTGAAGTGTGGGCTCTGGCTCAAGACTCCAATCAGCCAGAAACCCACAAAGATCAAAGCACTAGCGAGTACAGCTGTTCTGGCCCTCAGGCCAAGCCCATACGGCCCCACCCACTCGCCCCATTGCCCGCCCAAGGCAGGAGCTGGCCTGACCTTGCCACCCGGCCATCCTGACACACCAGGCGGGCACAGTGGCCATCACCAAGCCCTGGGCGTCCTGGGCACTTACCTTCACGAGCACTTAGCAGTGGACGGCCTCCGAGATGCTGTCTCCCTTGTCTGATGAGGCCACCCCGGGGCTTGAACCGAGGCCGGCCAGCTCCCCACCCCATAGCCCAGGCAACTGCCACCCTCTTGGGTTTTGGATCTCCTGTTTGATGTTCGATGTCTGCTTTTGTTACTACCTTGAGAACTTTTTAACCTTTTGATTGTTTCCTCTGGTGGCTTTGTTTACCACTGTTCTACCTCCTGGCCGGGTCTCTCAGCCTAGCAGCCCTGGCACGGGGTATTTCTCAAACCTTCCAGCTGCAGCTGCCTCCGACTCTGGTGGGACAGCTCAGGGGTGACGATGGGGCCTCACCCCTCTGCCTGCAGACCCCAGGGGAACCCATCTCACAGGCTTCTGTGTTGCCAAGTTGAATATACTCAACAAGGCAGAAGTGGGGTATGGAGGAAGGTCCGAGGTAAATCTGCATCAGAAAGGATGTGTCTTCAGGAGCACATAGTGGGGGACCCTTTCTCTTCCTGTACAGCTGCCGTCTTGGGGTTCACGCAGCGTCAAGACCTGCCACATCCAGACTCACCTGCCCGCAGGGATCTTGACTTTGGATGACAAGGCTTTATTTGTAAATATGCTCTTAATATGCAACTTTGAGAATAAAATAGAAACATCATGTATTTTAAAATATAAGATGAAGTGTGATGCACTGTATACAATTTAATATATATTTTTAGGATTTTGTTATTTAAGAAAATGGAATGTAATGGTACTTAACTTTTACAAAAGAGAGAAAAATGTTATTTTTACTGTCTGGAGAAAATAAATATTCTCACTGTTGTAGAAACAGCGACAGGCCCTAGCATGTCGTTTTTGTAGGGGTGCTCCCAGGACCCCGCGACGATGGGGGGTGTTGCGTGCTGGCCGACTGAGCGCTCTTCTGAAATCTTTGCGAAATGTCCAGGCCTCCCTGTTTGCGCAGTTTTTCCTGTTAGTGTCCCCCGCTTTCCTCAGGTCTCCTCATAGCTTTGACCCATGGTGGATCTTCAAGCAGGTCAGGTCGGAGGAGTTGAAATTCCAAGTGAACACCTCGGAACCAAGGGCCGGTCATGGCAAGAGGAAGGCACTTTGTGCTCAGAAAGACCTAGGTCTGAATTGACCTCGAGTGGGTCAGTCCACTTCTCAGCCTCAGCTTCCCCTCCTGTAAAACGGCATCGTGTCTGTGCCTCAAAAAGGTTCTGAGGATTCGGTGAGGGATGTATGTAAATGCTTCTGTCAGCACGATCCCACGTGGATTTCTTCCTGCCTCTCGGGGCACCCGTTCCTCCCCACCCCTCCTCGTCAGCAGCACTGCTGGCAGCCCCACCTGTGAGCTGCAGGCTCCTGCCAGGCGCCGCACACACCCTAACAATCAACCGAGGGCTCCCGTCACCCCTGTCCTGCCGTTGGGGAGACAGGCTCCGAGGGGAGCCGGGGCCGCCACTGAGGGCACAGCCCCGTAGCCGGCCCGCTGGGACTCAGCTCCCACCATTCATCCGCCAAGGCCCGGGAGTGTAAAACAGGCAGCCTTTGAAGGGTTTGGCAGAGGAGTGACATCAGATTCCCAGTTTAGAACGATTTCCTACTTGAGTTAGGAAAAACAGTTGGAGTGGGGTAAGGTCGAGCCGGGGGAGGAGGCGAATCGGGAGCTACACAGGTCCAGCGAGGGATGCAGAGTGCCTGGCTGTGGAGGGAGGCGAGGCCCCGAGTGAGAGACAGCACAGCACTTACCACGTGGCCTCGGGCGGGTGACCCTGCCCTATGTGCCTCCTTCCTCATCTGTCAGCCGGGGACACTTGCAGTATGTACCTCGTAGAACTGGGATGGGTTACCTGTAGTCTGTTGTCAGAAAAGGGCAGCCGTTCCTTGTTATTCCAGAATGGAGGTTGGGGGAGTTTCTTACCTGGGGGCTGAGGGGAGGAGAGAAGGTTCAGTTTTCAAGGTAAAGATTGCACATGGCTCCAGGTGTGAGAGAAAACATGCTGAGTTCTGTCTGGACTAAGTCGAGTGAGGGCCCTGTGGGACACTGAGGCAGCGTGAGGCCCACGGAGGGTCAGGCCCAAGGAGCATAGTCCATGGAAACGTGGGCACAGTCAACATCCTGGGATGTGTCTGAGGCCATTCCAGAACACAGTGTCTCAGGACACAGGCAGGTGAGGAGGAGCCTGGGCAGGTCCTGGGGTGGGGGGCTGGGGGGTGGGCAGAAGAGAGGGCAGCCCCAGATGCCAAGCTTCCAACCCATCGGGTACAGGCACACACATACTGCTGGTTCTGTGAGCCCCAATTCCAAATTCTCAGGAGGTGATTCGCCAGGTAAGTTCCCTGCCCCAGCAGGGCTAAGAGAAAAGGAGGCGCAGGCCAGTCCAACAAAAGAACGTTACACGGCCGCGTCTCTCAAAACCTGCCGGGAACACTTGCCTCAGAATCCCTAATGTGCTTGTCCAAAATGCAGGTTCCTGGGCCCCCACCCCAGCCCCGCTGAGTCAGAATCCCCGGGAAGCTTCCTGAACGATGCCAGTGCTCACTGAAGTTTGACAGCCATTTTAATCTGAGAAGTGGGGTCAGTAGTCACCTCCTCTTTTGGGAAGTGAACTGCCCACAGACAGCTGTGCAAGTTCCACTGGCTGCCTCCTTTGCCGTAGGGACATACTGGTTATTCGGGTGCAAAGTCTATGGAGGTCCTTCTCTGTCCTTCTCAGGACAGAGAAGGGTAGAGGATACAAGGCACCGCACAGCAGGTATTCCAGATCCTTCTCCAGAAGGATGACATGGAGCCCGAGCCCTCCTTTCCCGCCATCCTCCCTCCTGGCTGGGGTGGGCCTGCACCGCCAACAGCCAGCAGGGACACGGCCGCAGCTGTCACAGTCCGAGGGCTCCAGAAAGGCCAGCTTCACTTGAGTGTTTATGTTCTCTCTGTTCCTGGAAGCTCTTTCCTGAAGGAAAATATTGTTGATGGCGGGTGGCAAACAAATGGGGTGGCCTTGCTGGTGAATTTCTTAGAGACAGATCAGCCTGCACCAGAAAAATGGAGGCAGCTGGAGTGTGCCGCTGTCCTGCCTAAAGCAGAACCATCCGAGTGGGCTTTGGGCACAAGCGACCGGGACCTCATCCCGTCGTTCTTCCAAACCTGAGAGATGCTGACGTTGGACAACCCGCCCACCAGGAGCCAGCACCAGGGCGGCCTCTCCCTCCTCCTTTGTCAGACGATCAAAGGCTCTTCTTCCTGCAGAGACGCAAAGGGCTGGACAAGAGTGACCTTGTCTCCCGGCTTGGAAGGCACATGATGGTCTCCTCTCCCCACTGGGCTGTGTGTGCCTGAAACTGCAGACAGTCTCTGGGACTCAGAACTGGGAAGCTTTTGTTCCTCCACGGCGGGGTCGGGTCCCCACGGGGGATTGTTTGTGCTTGGCTGAAAGGGACACTTTGGGGATAGAATATTTCAACCTCAAGAAGCAGCAACATTTGCTTGTAGCTGGAAGTCTTCATTTCTGGTCTCCAGCTGTCGTCTGGAGCTACCAGGCCCCAGCAGAATGGAACTCTGCCTGGCAACTAGGGGCAGGCGGCACCGGGCTGGGCTGGCCGAGGACCAGCCCGTGTCCAGGACAGCCTGGCAGGCAGCAAGGACGCCGGCTGTCCTCCTCCCAGAGGCAGTCACTGGGCTCCGGAATCAACCTGCTAGCGGCAGACTCCTGCGCCAGGGAAGGGCTTCACAGAGAAGCATTTTAGGGCGAAAGCAGATCCAAGCTTCGTGTCCAGAGTAACTCCTCAGGGGAAGATCAGAAAGGACTGAAACAGCCAAGGCTTTTGCAACTGAGAAACTTCAGATTTCATGAATTTCACTCTCAGAATGTTTACCATTGTCCCCATTCAAATGAGGCCACCGAACTTTTAAAAAACTTAATAAGGGGCCTGCTACCTTGCACGCTGGTGGTGTGAATATGTCTAACGAACATGCCTTAGTTGCCAGCACCAAACATAAAGTCAGATCAAGAGCACTCAAGGGGCTTTCCAACCTCCTATTTGGCCCAATATGGGACAATTCTTTGATAGGCCTGGGGTGAGATGAGGAAAGAGCTTTTCAATGTGCAAGGATAAGAATAATGATGACAGCGATGATCACCATAATAATAGCCAGACACTGTGCCTAGCACTCAGCAGACAAGATGGAATTCATCTTTGGGACAACCCCACCTGTGAACCAGAGGGGCTTGGCGCAGTGGACGGCAGAGCCAGGACTCGGCCCGCGTCTGCTGGCTCCAAAGCCAGGCCACCTTACTCCCGGTGGCCCTGCACACCTCTTCCACCCAGGCAGGGGCATGCGCTCTGAGGGAGGCCCCACGGCCCCGGAGGATCTCTCCATTGTGAGTGTCTCCTCCGGACAGCCCAGGGATGGTACAGATCAATTTGTCTGGAGCGGGGAAGGCATCAGACCTACACTTCCTTACCTGTTTGAGGACACAGACCCCCTTGAGAATCAGATGAATGTTACCAAACCCCCCTCCCCCCAAAGACTCACACCTATAAAATAATCTGCATAGAAATTCTGGAGATTCCAGGGACCACCACCCCTGACCCCCTACCGCCTCCCCACGAAACCCTTCCATGAACTTTAGGTTCAGAATTTCTTCATGAAGCCATAAGCAAAGTTATCCAAAAACTAAACTTAGAGGGGCGCCTGGGTGGCTCAGTGAGTTAGAGCCTCTGCCTTCGGCTCAGGTCTTGATCAGGGTCCTGGGATTGAGCCCCGCATCGGGCTCTCTGCTCAGCAGGGAGCCTGCTTCCACCTCTCTCTCTGCCTGCCTCTCTGCCTACTTGTGATCTCTCTGTCAAATAAATAAATAAAATCTTTAAAAAAAAATAAAATAAAATTAGGCCAAAAGAGGACACAACCAGAGTAATAATAACAACCATGGATACGCCTTCCTGATCTCTAAGTGTCCAGCAACTTTTTCTGCTAAGTAATCTACTAGTAGAAGTAGTAATCTACTACTTTAGGCTTTGCAGGCCACAGCGTCTCTGCTCTCTGACACAACTGCTCAACTCTGCATGCACCTGTGGGGAGGCATCTGCTTGCTAGAAGCCCAGCCCATCTACTGGGATCCTTAAGGATCCCATCACGGCCCAGCCTGGAGCCGTCCACACAATCCCGAGACGGGTGGGGGATCTGTGGAAGAGTGGGAAAAGGTCACCAAGGCCCACCAGGAAGTAGCCTTGAGTTCTGATGAGACCTAATTTATGGACACGAAACTTGAATTGGTGACACTTTCACGTGTCACCAAATACTCTTTTAATTTCCCCCCCAAATTAAAAAACATAAAAGCCAGTCTTAGCTTGGGGTCCCTACAAAACAGATGGCGAGACCACAGGCGGTAGTTTGCTGCCCCCTGTGCTCTGCTGAGCCCTTTCCATGCATCTGATTTCATGCTCGCAACTGCCCGGATTAGGCACTGTTTTTACCCACCTTTGTCACGTGAGGCCACGGAGGCTCAGAGAGGTCATATAGCTCCTTGAAGAAGCACAGGAGGCAGGCCTTGAACCCATCCCCAAACTACTCACTTGCCTGAGATGGCTGAGTTTAAATTGTGGAGAAAGGGAAGGGAAAGTGGCTGGTGGAGCAAAAAGGGGGGCCCTCGTGCATGGCCGCGCTCTGCGCCCTGGCAGTCTAAGGGAGGGCCGGAGAAGGGCTCTTCAGCCCAGGTCTCTGTTTGAATGCTCTGCACCGCAGGGGACAGAGGCTGGTTTCCTGAGCTGCTCCTCCAGCGAAGGAGGCCTCAGACCCAGGGCAGCTGGTGGCTCTCACGTTGT